GTTCTGTAGTACTCTTAGCTCCTTTTTTATATTGTTGTACCTTAGCTCTTTCTTGCAATTGTTTTTCTTTGAGTTGTTTTGAGACCGCACGGGTTTTTCGCTGATCTTTAGCTTCAGCCGTACGAGCCAGATCCAAAGCCACATCTCTTGTAGTCAAAATTGGAGAGGATTCTAACAGGGGCTCCTCCAGAAAACCTCCTGTAGCACCCTGCGCTTCTATTGGATCTAATTCGGCCTGCCTGAGCTGCACTTCCAACTCTTGCTGGGGTTGCTTCTCCTTATCACTCTCCTTTATCTCCAATACAGTAGATGAACGTGGAGATGGTGATCTCTCCTTAAGAACAGTATGGTAAAAATGTTCTGCCTTTTCAACAGTATTCAGTCGATATCTTTCCCCATGATATTTCAAAATTATACCCATTGGGGCATCCCACCGAAATGGTATCTCTAATTTATTTAGTTCCTTTACTAAGAAACCAAAGTCTTTCCTATCTTTCAGCATCTTTGGGGGTAATTCTTTATAAATTCCAACTTGAGTTCCCTCCACTTGCACAGAGGAAAGAAAAGATTTTTGCAAAATATCATTTCTCATTCTTCTGTCTGTAAAATATATCACCACGTCTCTTGGTAATTGTCTTTGTCTGGCCACCCACAAGTTCACTCTGTAAATTTTGTCTATTTTGTAAAAAATCTCATCAGAATTGATTTTTAACAGCACAGCCAAGGCATCAGCACAAACCTGTCTCAAATCTTGCCGGTCATTCTCCTTGATACCTCTAATTCTTATAGCAAATTCCATGGATCGGAATTGCATCATGGTAATCTCGTCTTCAACTCTCTGCATTTTATTATCCATATCAGCAATTTTAAAATCAGTATCCTTTATTTTAACATTAACTTCTGATTTAAAATCTTCCAATTTAGAGTCCACTTTAATAATAATTTCTGACAAGCCAGAAACCACATTTGATAATTTATCAGACACCTTATCATAATTCTCTTTCACCAAGTTTTTCACTTCACTAATTTCCTGCTTAATTTCTTGTTGAGATTTTTGAAATTTATCATCAATTTTCTGTTGAGATTTTTGAAATTTATCATCCATTTCCTGTTGAGATTTTTGGAAATTGTCATCCAAAGCCTGAGTAATAAATTTTTTTAAGTTTTCAAAGTCAAACTGCTCTTCAGGCTTATGTGTGGGGGATCCCCCCCCTGCTGCCTTGCTTTCCTGTTTTTTAGAAGTCATTTTGCCACGTAGGTTGGATTTTCTAAAAGGAGAAGTCCTTTTTCCTTTTCCAACACCACAAAGTCCTCTAAAAAAATCCCCCAGTTTTTAAACAGATTAGAAGTAAAATTAGACTGTAAGATCAACTTGTTTTAAAAAGGGATTTTTTTCCCCCTCTTCTCCTGTACTTGCTACAAACAGCGCAACAATGTAACTTGTTGGAATAGCTTTAGGAAATCACTCTCCCTTTCAGCTTGTTAACTTGTTAACGCTGGGGCGGCGCCATCTTTTCAAGCCGCTTCCGCTCGTATTATTTTTAGTAAAATCGGGAAATCACAAAGAGAAAGAATACTTGCAGTTCCTTGGTTTAAGGATTCAGGTTTTCTTTTAGTTGGTAAAATTGGTTTCATTCAATTTTCGTGTTTGCTGCTGCCGGCTTGCTCTGCGAAGCAGAGTCGTCCCACGCCGCTCGGAGTCTTCGCAAGTTGAAAGGGAGCCACACCTGTTTCCCCCCCAATAGCAAACTTCTGGGGGCTCACAGGGGCTCAACCTGCGCCTTGCTTGCTCTCTCCTTCAAATCCTGCAGATTCTGGAGTTTTCAAGCCGCTTCTCACGATCGAAGCGGCTCTACAAACGGCAGGGCTGGCGGTCCTTAAAAAGGCACCGTCTTCACCGGAGCTAGCAAAAACCGGAAGTCCAAAATGTTTTATCTTGAATTCAGTATAAAACTAGTTAGCCTGAAGTTGGGACAAAACCTCAGAACTTGATGCTTTCTTTCAAGTTGGAACATATTGCACATTTTAATGATACATGTCCCATGTTGACTCATTCCCTCTTGTTGCCGCCAATATTTTTTTGGAAATACTTGTTTTAACAAAGTTATTATCAGATATCAGAGATCTTATCTGGACTACAAAAACCCAGATGATCAAGAGATGCTGCTTTCTACCTCGATTTTGTAGCCTGGATGTGACATGCCTGTTACAGTCATACTTGACACTAGTATGTTTGAGAAAGCATATACCAAATGCAGAACCCTGAACATGTATATGGTCAATAGTGCCATACAGATATTGTTGTAATAAACTTTTTTGTCCCTTCTATCATCCCTCTGAAATTCCTTGTTAGGTTCTTTACATCTAAGACTTTTCTCTTTCTTGGTTTTGGCTTTTCTTCTTGGTAACGTCTCCCATTTGCCTCACCATTTCTTCTCTTTGGTCTTTAGCAGGCTCTTTTCATGTTCTTTTTTAAAAAAAAATTATTAAAAAAATCCGCCTCCATGATGCTGTTACTTTGATATGTTAGCCCCTCAAAATCTCATCTTTCAAATTTTCTTTCAAATTTTCAAATCATAATTTCAAACATAATTTCACAGTATATGAATACAACAAGTTCAATATGTGCAGAACAAGTCTGCACAATTTCTAAGATAAAGAAAAAAGTAGAGATCATCTATATGACTGAAAGCTAAAATTAAGGAGGAAATTATTGTGGCTTGTGATGCAACTCCTGTTTCTTTGCTTTTAATATGGGTTAACTTTTGAAAGTAACAGCCATTTTGACTTATTACCAAATTGGGAATCTGAAAATGTACACGTGGCTTGGAACCACTCTTTAGTTTATAAATGGAAAAAGGTATATTTCCAAAATGTTATTGGAAAGAAAAAAAAATCTAAGTAGGACTTACTATATCATGTCTTTCATTATTACATAATGTTTATAAAAAGCAAAAAATGTCATGAAGCAATTGGGAATGTCTGCTATAATTCTTCAGTGGTAGATGCTACATTATGTTAATGTTATTTTAGGCCTAGCAAAAATTGTAGGGTAATCTTGAATATATTAGTCCATCCACATTAGACAAAGAAGAGATTAAAATGTTTAGGAATCACAACATATACACTGAGTCTTTGTCAGATCGTATCAGTAGTGCCAAAGCTCTCATTAAAACAATAACAGCAACAACAACATAGCTCAAAACTCAGTTGGACTTGGGAGGCCAATATCCACAATTTTGTAATGCTAAATTGGTTAACTGACCTGAGAATTCCAGGAAGAAGTAATAGTTACAAAAGCAACTTGGTCAAGGTTGCAAGATCCCCAAAATTCTGCAGTAGTCTACTGACATTTTCATTTTTCAGAAGGTTGAAGAAGAGTCAAAGAAATTGGTTCTCCTAGATCCAACCAACAAGGAAGGGCAGATTGAAGAAGTGAAAGTGGCAGGATGAACTGACCACATCATTTTGATGTTCAAGATACTATAGAAAGTGCAGCAGAGTTGTATATGCATAATAGAATTAAGGGGAGCAATTTCCAACCAATTTAATGATGTTCTAGATGGGATCTCATATAACATGGCTTAAAGCAGTGATTTTCAACTTGTGGCCTATTGACCACTTGGGGGGCGCAATGTCCTCACGGGGTCCACAAAGGGTTAAAGAAATGTTTGATTTAAATCTTGAGTTAAGTCTTGGGGGTCTGTGGTCATGGTCCATGACACAAAAGGTATTTAAAGAGAGGCTGTGGGGAAGAAAAGATTGAGAACCACTGGCTTAAAGCAGTTCTTTTAAAAAAAATGTAGAACCTACAGTTTGCCAGAAAATAAGCACAACATTGAAGCAATATAAGATTCAGACTCCTTGCCCTTCTGATTATATATGAGAAAATTTAATTCAAATTAAGTAGAGAGAAGTGATAATAAGCAAACAATTCTTTATCTTATATTAATCATTCTGAATAATACCTAATTTATTTATCATAATCTAATTTATGATTGACTTAAAGCAGCTGCAATCTTGCACTTTTGGGAAGAATACTCTCCTGTATAGTCCATTTTGGCTCTTCAATTACTAAACACTATTAGACATATTGTGAGTACCTATTTTGGGTTTGTGTTATGTCCAGCAGGGTTTCAGAAGCTTTCCTAGTTCCTCCTTTAGAGAAGATCAGTGGTGGGTTTCAAATTTTTTTACCGGTTCTGTGGGTGTGGCTTGGTGGGCATGGCTTGGTGGGTGTGGCAGGGGAAGAATACTGTAAAATCTCCATTCCCTCCCCAATCCAGGGGAAGATTACTGCAAAATCCCCATTTCCTCCCGATCAGCTGGGACTTGGGAGGCAGAGAATAGACGGGGTCGGGGCCAGTCAGAATTTTTACTACCGGTTCTCCAAACTACTCAAAATTTCCGCCACCGGTTCTCCAGAACTGGTCAGAACCTGCTGAAACCCACCTCTGGAGAAGATGTATCAAGTGTGTTTGTATTGTTTTGTATAGAACATAGAAATATAGAATTCTATGTTATATACAAAACACTTTAAAAATATTTTCAATAGTACTGAAACTGCAATTTGTCACATAGAGTTCAATCTATGCTAAATCCTATCAGTCTAGATTCTCAGTACTTTTAAATATAAAATGATTATTGCTGCAAATGATTTAACAAATGATGTGGAAAAAAAATAGAAGCATATACATATATGTCGGGCGGGTTTCAAAACCCATCGCTACCTTTTTGCTTGTGGGCGCGTGCACATGACACTTCCGTGTGCATGCGTGACGCTTCTGCACATGCGCAGAAGCGTCTGGGCAGGTGGGTGGAGCCTCCTGTTGCCGCCGCCACTATCAATTCGCCTGATCTGGGGTGAACTGGTAGCAATCCACCACTGGTATATGTATATGTAAAAATGTATAACCTGTCCTTTCAATGTTCATACTCGGACAGTTGGCTTTTACCCTCTGCTTTTTTTTTTTATAACAATTTGCTTTCTTTTTTTATAGCGTTCTCCTTTGGCTTGAGAATATTAACAAGATATTTGACCAATTACTCTTGATTAGTAACTTTGTTACATAGTATATGGAGCATCTAAGGAATGAGGAGGTAATTCCACTCTTTTTAAAAGAAAGCTTCAAAAAAAATGATACAGAAAGCCCATACAACTATAGGCATGAGGCTAATATTTCCGTAAAGGTCGGTCTGTTTCACTTTCTGGCTTGTAGACAACATTGTACTAGGTAATCATGAAAGAAACTGAATGTGCAGGTAGTCCTCGACTCACAAGCATTCATTTCATGACCATTCAATATTATAATAGCACTGAAAAAAACTGACTTGTGACCAGTTTTCACACCTACAACCATTGCAACAATCCCATGATTATGTGATCAAAATTTGGGTGCTTGGCATCTGGCATGTATTGTCCTAGGGACATGTCATCACCATATGTAACCTTCACAGTTGGCTTCTAAAAAGCAAAGCCGATGGGGGGGAAGCCAGATTTGCTTAACCACTGCATGTTTCACTTAACAACTTTAGTGATTCATTTAATAACTGACAAAAAAGGTTGTAAAATGGGGCATAACTCACTTAACAACTCTTTTGTTTAGCAATGGAAACACTGGGCTCAATTGTGGTCATAAGTCAAGGACTACCTATATTTCACAATATCTCACCACCACAACAGCAGCAGTCCAAACAGCATTGATGTCGTTAATTTTTTGTAAGCTTTCTAAACAATTCTGGTTTTAGTACCTCTTGGAAAACTAACAAAATGCAGGCCAGTCTCATTTCTAGAGAGAGATTCTTCCATGCTATAGGATATATTGTCTGCAATTCTAGCAACCACCAGAATCAGAGATTAGAATTTCCATCAGTTTATGAGTTATCTTTTCAAAAGGTCTAATAGCAGACCTGTGGTAATGATCTTGATGGGGAAAAAGTCAAAAGAGGCTTTAACCCTTTGCTGTGAGCTTGACCCAGATATATTGTCTTTCCCGCCTGTAATTTGCATTTTTAAACCATGATATCACATTTAGGTTGACCTTAACTTGCATGTATCAAGGTAACAAAACCCCTTTTTACCCCCATCATCATCAATTGGGACACTTCATAAGTAATTTACTGTATCTGTGGCTTTTTTTTTTATGTTGTGGTTAATAAATTGTCAGGAAGTGGAAAGTGTGAGACCTGATGATGTCATTTTAACTCATCTCTATTATATGAGCACAGTAGTAATGGATATGCACACACACATATATAAGAGTACCTTCAGCTGTTTTAAATTACATCCAAAAAGTTCAAGTAAGTACTAATCTATATGCCTTGCTGTTTTATAGATATGATTAGACTAGAACTATTCATTTTATGTGTCTTTTTGGGGTAATCTTACTTTTCTTGTCTATTATAAAGTCCACGGCTGTAGCTGAGACATTCCAGGGCTGACTGCTGTTCTTTTGGAACTATGAATCTATGGAAGACTTGGACAAGATGCTATCTTCTTTCGGTGTTCTGCTGTTATTACCTCTTCCTCCTCACTGTTGCAAGTCCTTTGCCCTTGAACCAAACAAGCACGCTAAATGATCAATCCTGCAGCCTTAACCGACATCACTTCAGGAGGTTTGCCTTCAAGAACATGACCTATACCGTGGCCAGAGAGGTAAAACCAGAGGGCTTTGCACAGTGCCAGAGTATTGGCTGTAGGACCTTTCTATTGGGTGTTTTTTAGTTTTCATCCATTTTTTTCCTGCCATTTTTTTTTCCTTCTGAAAAGATAGGCTATTTTGTGACAGTTGGAGTTGTCCCAGTGAGTTAGGGTTTCCCAAATTCGATATATAATACCGTGTTTCCCTGAAAATCAGACCCTGCCTTATATTTTTTTGAACCCTGAAATAAGTGCCTGGCCTTATTGTCATGCACTCAAAAGCCCGATTGGGCTTATTATCTGGGGATGTCTTATTTTGGCGGAAATAGGGTATGTACAATTTGAAAAAGCCATAAGTCAGTAGAACATATACAGAAGTCTTTGCAGGGCAATCTGGTAGCAGCTTGGTACATGTCCATTTCTTTATTGGCTTTCTGCACATTGCCAGTTGTTTAATTTTGCTCCCTGTTATGTTCTGTTTATAAATCTTGTAAATTTCAGACTTGTTAAATATTTACAATATATTGTGATTTTCATGTCAAGATTCACCAGCAAATTCTTCAGATTTCCTATTTTGGTGAGTTTTACTCTTTTTGCCAGATTTTCATATTGGTTTGTTTGGCTTAGACCAATTTGTGATTCTGCCATGGTTTGTCAGTAATGGCATATTGCTTACCAAGTTATGCAGATATCAGCCACTGTGTTTATTTTTTAAAAAAATTCAAAATGCAGTGTATGAATCTATGGCTAGCTCAAATAAAAATGTACGTTTTTATTTCTACCTTTTTCTTGGTTTCTACAATTCCCTGGTGAAATTAGAAAGCTACTGCAGTCCCAGTAAATTGATAGCTACAAAATAGGACTTCCATAAAGCTAAAGGCTCCTTTTTCTGCCTTACAGTTTTCCTGTTTCTCTTTTCAGGCAAGAGTTTATGATCAGGACACAGTTAACAGGTTTGTGGGACAGGATTTATACATCAACGTCACGGTGAGACTCTATTTTAAACATGCGTTAATTAATTTAATTGTTTTAATCAATATAAACTTAGGCTTCTGCAGCAAAATCTCTCAAAAGTGAAACAGAAGCTGTAATTATGAAATCAAAGTCCTTTTTTATATGCATCACATGTGCAACTCTACTGAGAAAGGGAAGAGTCTTAAGGCCCAGAGTTAGGGCTATCTTGGCTTCGGTGACTCACTCCTCCAGATGGCAGTAAACTGTCAAAATGTTGAGACAGACATAGTGACATGATTTCAATCATTACATACTTACATCCTGACCACTGGATGCTAGTATGTACCTTGTGGTTTTTGCTCAGGACAACATAACACATGTTTTGTTACTTGTTCCTTTTTGCCTTTCCTGCAATTGTCGATGTACGTAGATGCTTATTCCTGCATAGTCCAATCTCCATTGTTTGCCTGTTTATTTTGCAGACTAATGAACGTTGCTACTTAATGAAAAGAGTAACAGATACTGTCACACATGTCCTCCATGATCTGAAGAATCCAAATCCCAATTTCCTAGAAGTAATATATTTTTTTGCGGAATTGACTAGAGAACTGCGTGACTGTGTAAGCATGATAAGAATTGTATATTGGCAGACACTCTCTCCTGTCAGAATACAGACCATTTTATTGCAGATGATGGTGGGAGGAATATTTCAGCATATGTAAAGGAAATGCCAGTTTGGAGAAAACTTCAAATGGTTTTTATCTGTTCTCTATCCCTTGTTCTCAACTTTCTTCAAATTGTCCACTTCTTTTTCTTTCTTGGATGATTTCAAACTACAAATAGAGTTGGCTTCTGTTTATCTAAATACATCTACATCTAATACCATAGCTCTGGTGCTGATAACACTAACAGAGGAAACCTCAAATCAAAACATCCAAGATTTCTAAAGTTCAACGTAAGTAAAAAGAAAGAGTTGTGAAATGCAAACCACATTGTTATATATATATATATTTTTCCTTTTCAGAAACCACTGGAAGATACAAGATACATAGAAGGAAATTTGAAAAGAATGAAAGATAAATTAGAACAGGTACATTAATTTAAGAACAGATTGATGAGAACAATGGAGGTATGCTCCTATTTTTGTCACTATGGAAGGTTGAATTAAATGTTAGAATAGTTCTGACCAGCTTTCAGGAATTGTAGATATATTATTGGAGAAAAGGTAGACCATGTTAAATCAAGACAAGAATCAAATTGGGGAAACTTGACATGTACCATATTTTTGGAGTATAAGATGCACCGGAGTATAAGACACATCTTAGTTTTTGGGGAGGAAAATAAGAAAAAAGCTGATTGGCAGGTTCCTTGGTTGTGAGCTCTGTGCCTTGCTTTTTTTTGCTTTTTTTCCTGCCTCTGAAAGCTTCCGAAACAGAGCTTCCGAAAAAAAGCCTCTGAAGCTCTGTTTGGGAGTTTCTTTTCTGAAGCTTCGTTTCTGATGCTTTTTTCAGCCTCTGAAACCTCCGTTTGAGAAGCTGGGCGGGGCTACATTCAGAGTATAAGACGCACCCAGATTTTCACCCTCTTTTTTTGGGGAAAAAGGTGCATCTTATACTCCAAAAAATATGGCAGTTATAGTTGCATCCACATTATTTGTATTTCTTCCTTCACCCTACATTTCTTCAGTTGTTTTCAACATCTCCTATTTTGATTTTTAGTTTTTAGTATGCTATTTTGCCAAACTTTGAACTGTTGCATATTTGCTTTTGCATATTTTCACTATGATGGCAAACGACACCAGAGCAAAGCAATAATTTTGGTGATGGCAAATGCAACAGCTCTCTCTTTGCAATATATTGGGAATGTTTTTTTTTTTTTACATGATGCAGGTAAACATGCAGTACAGGTATCAGTCAGAGGAGCTATGATCTTTTTTCAACAGAAAATTAAGCCTCCAATTTATGGATTCAAAGAATATTTCATGGTTTCACATCTTTTAAGTCCTGTCAAAATCTGCGGTAGCTATAGATTTGGATTATGACAGTTTGAAGTCCACATATATTTAATATAGTATAAGCTTTCTTTAATTATTTTAGTTTTTAAGTTGCTACTCAAGTGGCCATAGGATATTTTAAAATTATAAGTTTTTATAATTTTTGATTACATTTTATTTGATGTTGTGTATATGAGATATCAGAATTAGATTCTGCAAGGCCATGATTACCCTAAATAGGCTTGATAATTGACTGTATGTCTTATGTCTTTTATCATATGGGATAACACAACTGATCCTATAGTATAGAACAGTGCCACGACCCTTTAATACAGTTCCTCATGTTGTGGTGACCCCCAACCATAAAATTATTCCTAAAATCATTGAAAATATGTGTTTTCTGATGGTCTTAGGCGACCCCTGTGAAAGGGTCGTTCGACCCCCAAAGGGGTCCCGACCCACAGGTTGAGAACCACTGGTATAGAACAAAAGACAAAAGAAAAACAAAAAACCCCTACCTTCCATATGTTAAAACAAGCAAGCAATATTTTGCCATACTAGATTAAGTAGAGTAGAGGCCTTTATAAAAATCATCATCAAATAAAGTTCTAGGCAAAGCAGCATGTACTTGGATCTGTTGAAGACCATACTTTTGCTATGATTTTTCAGTTGGGAGACAATGGAATGAACAAAATGGTTGGTGAACTTGATTTGCTGTATGAGTATCTGAGGGATGCATGTACTTCAAAGAAAGCAAGCAGTGGGCACAAGGACAAGAAGAACAAAGAATCGTCAAAATTATGATATGTTTTTCATATACTGAAGAAAAAGCAATATATATTAGAGGTCAGTGTTAAGGTCAGTTTGCAGAAATTTTTGTTTATATGATAAAAAAAATTACAAATATTTTTGGATGCTGCAGTTTCTGAGATTTCAGATATATCTCAAATTATTTACTTCTTTCCAGAATAATAATAATAATTATTATATTAGCTTTGACCAATATTTTATTACGATAGGCCTAATTTATGTACGAGAAAATGATGTTTTTATGTCAAAGAATTTTAAGCATAATGTAAAGGAGAATTTAATATTGATTAAGCTGAGGACAGACTAACTAAAAGTGTTTAAACAATGGGGCTGCTGCTAAGCTGATGGTTAGTTCGGACTCACAGCAAACTCAATCAGTAGCACTTTCAGTCACATATCCTTGTACAAAAAATTATTGTGAATTCAGAAAGCTCCTCTTGAACTACCACCATCATAGCATTAGGGTGCTTAATGTGCAGAACAGTAATATAAAATTGTGCTCAACTAGAAGTCACTGGTTTAAACCAGTAGTGCGTTTCAATTTCGGCCACTACTGGTTCACTCATGGTTGCTCACGCGCTTGTGCAGAAGCTTCTCTGCATGAGCAGAGACGTCCAGGCGGATGGGTGGAGCATCCTGCTGCCGCCGCTACCGGTTCACCCAATCTGGGCCGAACCGATAGCAACCCGCCACTGGTTTATCAGACCTTGTTCATACTGAATGTGGATCAGGGATGGTGAGAGTTAGTACAGTAAAACTTAAAGCAGCCTTTCTGCTATATACACCTTTCAAAATGAATTAAAATGGCAATTATTCATCCATACTATTTTATGCCATAGATGTGGTCCTAATACCTCTGGAGAGCTATAGTTGGAGAAAGTTATAGATCCTCCAATTATGTTGTAGACAAATTATATGTAAGCATCTATTCATGTTGAATATTTATAAGAATTGGATGCCCCTTTCTAGTCTGGGATTCTTATTTTTAGAATCTTTGCAAGAAAGTGAATTTAGAAAATAGTGTTTTTATGCTTGATCCCTATCATAAAATTTATTAGCTATTTCTAGAACCAGAAAGTCTTCCTCAATCTGTTATCCTGAAGATCTGTTGGACCACAAATGGCCTCATCATCAGCCAGATCACCTAATGATTTTGTGGTTAGAGATTATAGGAATGGAGGTCCAATGCAACTAATGATTCCCTTGGAGCTCCAACTGAATAAGTAACAATTATGAAAGTGGAAATTTTGATAGTATCCTGGCAAGTGATACAATTTTATATATTTAAGTACCTGAATAATTTTTTGAGAATATTTTACCTGCTAACAGTATTGTCTTCAAAGAATCACTATATGTTTTCCATAACATTTTAATGAGTATTACCACTGGATATAACTAATAATTTATTGTTATATTTTGTTATATTTGATATATTTGGATATAATTTATATGATTTATTTATGTTCACACATGTACACATTTTTTAATAAAACTGAATATTAGATTTGTTTAATGTTTGAAAATTAGCAATAAAAAGTCATTTGTTTAATATATCCCAACTGACTGCATTTTATGAGTTCTACATAACTAGTTAGTTTTGGAAATATTACCAGTGGATGGCAGGGATAGGGGAGAAAAAGGAATTTCTTGCAATAGTCATTTCATTATTTTGTCCAGTTCCTTCTTTTATGAACATTCCATGTTGCAACCCTTAATTCCAAGTCTTATTTATATTGCTTACTACCAGGTGCTGGGAGTAAACCATGGGGGAGACTATTATTGAGATGACATGCTTTTAAAAACTTTATGTACCTGATTGACTACTGACTGTGGGGATGAGAAGGAAATGCCAAATAGCTTTTTGCTTTCATTGAACAGGAATCATATTATTACTTAACCCAATAGCCAGCTCTGACATAACCAGTGGTCTTCTTTGTCCAAGAATTCTACTTTTGGGCAGCTATTGGAAGAGGGCGGAGAAACTAAGAACACTATCTAGACCACTCTGTTTTCTTTGTCCCAGACTTTTCCTTCTTCACAAATGCAGCAAAAAAAGTCGTAAAATTGAGTATGACTCACTTAACCACCACCTTGCTTAGCAATGGAAATTCTGGTTGTAAATTGAGGACTACCTGTATTATTGAGGGAGAGTGGGAAAGACGTTTTGCATGTTCTAACAACCTGGGCAGTTTTAAATAGCTGTAGTGTAATCTTGAAGGACATAGCTTGTGATCGTTAGTCATGCAGTTTCCCAGTAATTCTGAAGTTATTTTGCTGCTTTTTCCTCCAAATAACCCAATCCATAGAATATGGATTAGAAATAGTTCTCAGCAGTAGATGTAGATCTTCAGCTCCTCAACTGGATTGTAACAAATAAATTGAAACAAATGAATAAAGAATAAAGAAAAGAAACCTGCCAATACTTCTGCAAAGCTAAACATGCCTCGCCTGACATTTGGTTTTGTGTCATAAAATGTCCAATATATAAGTTTCCATGATGTTTGTTTGTTTTATACATAGATACAAAAGTTAGAAACCTAATTAAAACCAGATTAAATAATTTAGCCCGAGACAATTAAAAACCCCAATAATTTAAAACAGATTAAAATTTCGATTTGAAAGAATTTTAAAACAGGGGAGAAAATTAGGCCAGGCCGGCTTGCTGGAATAGGAAGGTCTTAAGAGCACGGCAGAAAGTGCGCAGATCCGGGATCCTCTGTATCTCTGGGGGGAGCTCGTTCCAGATAGTGGGTGCCCCCACAGAGAAGGCCCTCCTTCTCTGAGTCATGAGACTCAGAATTTTTTACTATTTCTGTAATCAATTAAATGAGAGCAATGTAAATCTCATTTGTGGGAGTGCTAAAATGCTAATCTTTAACACATGAGTTCATGTAGTAATAATCTCCATCCACCTTACATTCAAAATATTTTTTTCTAAAAAAAATGTTAACTCTCCACAATTGCTACTGTGAAAAATATTGCAAAAGAAAAAAAACCCTCCAAAAGATCAATTTGTTGACTTTGTTCTATTGATAAGCCTTAGAATGTTAGAAAACCGTATCAGCAGTTTTGCAACCATGGGGTTCCTTTAGTACTTCTAACTGTTGTAAGTGGTTAGAGTGGAAGAGACAGGCTACTCATCTTTTGCAAGAAGAAGGAAGAATATAAATTAAGATATCTTCTGCCTGGGTGCAGGTTGACATACCATTAATTGTCAGTGGAAATACAAACTGTCCACAAATTCTGTTAAACTCCAGTTTTCTTCAGATGGGGGGCAAAGAAGGATATCCAAAGTTGGCTTCATAGGATAATTGCATCTAGATTGCAAACAGATTTGAATAACCAGGAGAAGGAGCTTTCCTTCTGTAATTCTCATTAACATTTAGTGATTGTCTGGAATTTTGCAGATATGGTAGCCCTACTTATTAGAAAAACTAATGTGTGTCTGATATACAATATGTCATGAGAATGATGGTTGTATGGATAGGTTTAGAGTATTATAATCAATTGTAGGACAAATTCTTCCCTTCTGATTAACAGTCTAATGTGAAGAAGTCAGCAACTGCTTGAAATCATTGGATCCTGTCCCATGCACTTTTGCTCTGTACAATAAAACTCACCAAGATTTATTTTACAATATAGAAAAAATGAGATTTTATGGGATATTTGGACTTGGGTATATTTGCATATTTCCCTACTTAATGTAGTTATTTTCATACATAAATTCTTCATGTGAGTATATTGTAGAAATGACTTGGTCTTCAAAAAGATCTCTGGAGTTGTATCTTTGGAAATCTGATGGGATAATCTTTGAACATGGCCTGTATTCAAAAAATCATCTTGCCTTTGAGGCCCGAGAAATCCTCACTGCAAAATGTTTTGCTTCTTTTTTTTTTTAATTTAAAAAGTTTTACAAATACATTTTCTCCCCAATTCCCCCCCCAACCCTCCCTAACCCTCCCCTCCCCCCATGACTTCCTCAGAATATAGTCCAAATCAAAATCACATTTTATAAAACTTGAACGCTTCCACCCCCTGTATATTACTCAAATCTTCATAAAAATTCAAATATTCTATCCCTATATAGTACATTTAGTTAAAAGCTATCTGATATTTCCTAGTTTGATATTTATTCTGCACATAATCTATCCATTTTTTCCACTCCCATACATAAGTCTCTTGAGTCTGATCTTTTAGGTATGCTGAGATCTTCGCCATTTCTGCAAAACTGGCCATCTTCATAATCCATTCTTCAATAGTAGGCATAACATCATTTTTCCAGTATTGACCTATCAATAATCTCGCTGCTGTCACCATATACAGTATCAACTTTGTTTCATCCAATGTGAAACCCTTAATTATACCCAATAAAAACAATTGTGGAGAGAACTGTAGTTTTTTCTTCAAAACATTTTGCATAACCCACCAAATTTTTATCCAAAAAAGCCTTCACTTTCTTACAAGTCCACCACATATGGTAATATGTGGCATCTAAGCAGTCACATCTCCAGCATTTTGGTTGAACACTAGGATACATACACGATAATTTCTTAGGATCTAAATGCCACCTATAAAATATTTTATAAAAATTTTCCCTCAAATTCTGCGACTGTGTAAATTTAACATTCTGGACCCATATTTTTTCCCATGTTTCCAACCTCACTGGCTCTGCAAAGTTTTGCGCCCACTTTATCATACAATCTTTAACCAATTCATTTCCGAATCTCTTTCTAACAAGACATTATAAACCCTCTTAATATGCATTGGACCTTTCTCTTTTATATGTCTAACCAATTCTTCTTCATGCATCATTATACCAGTTTTTTGGTCTTCTTTCCATCTCAGTTGAAGTTGATTATACTGTAACCAAGTTAAATTAGTCCCTTCTTCCAACAGTGTTTCTAATATCTTTAATTGCCATATGCCCCCATCCATAAAAAGAACTTCTTTATATAACCCCCCCACCCCCCGAGTGACATTATATTTGTATTCCACATGATATGACCAAGATCCAGCCATAACGGTATTTTATAATCCCATTTGAATCGGTGCTTCTTCCAAACTCTCATCAAAGAGTTCCTAAGTATGTGGCTTTTGAATACTTTATCCACTTTATTCTCATAAAATAAATATGCATGCCAACCAAATTCAAGATCATAACTTTCTATATTCAATATTCCAGTCTTTGTCCTTCCAAACCAATCACTTGCTTGCATCAAGGCTGCTGCTTCATAATATAATTGTAGGTTTGGAAGTTTAAGGCCTCCCCTTTCTGGAACATCTTGCATAATTTTCAGCTTAACTCTCGGCTTTTTCTCATTCCATACAAACTTATTCACTCCTCTTTGCCATTCTCTCAGTTGTTTATCACTTTTAAGCACCGGAATCATTTGAAACAAAAAAAAGAAATCTTGGCAAAACGTTCATCTTAACTGCTGCTATTCTTCCAAGTAGAGACAGCTGCAGTTTTTTCCAGGTCTCCATATTCTTTTGTACCTCTCGCCACAACACCTCATAATTATTTTGGAACAATTTTATATTTGAATCTGCAACCTGAACTCCTAGATATTTAACCTTTGATACTATTTCAAAGCCTGCCTTACTTTCAAATTCCTGTTTTCGATCTTGTGTCATATTTTTAACTATCATCTTAGTTTTTTTCTGGTTCAGTTTAAATCCTGATACCATACCATATTCTTCTATAATGTCTTTCATCTGGATTATTGATTCCATCGGCTGTGTTAGGGTAACAACCAGATCATCTGCAAATGCCCTTGTTCTATAATCCTCTTGCCTTATCACTATTCCCTTCAAAGTACTCGAGTCCCGTATTGTATTCAACAAGACTTCTAATGTTAAAATAAACAACAATGGGGATAGCGGACAACCTTGTCTTGTTCCTTTCTCAATATTAAAATCTGTTGTTAAACTTCCATTAATAATAATTTGTGCCGTTTGTTCTTGATAAATTGCTGAAACCGCCTGTATAAACTGATCTCCAAAGTCTTAGAACATGGCCTGTATTCAAAAAATCATCTTGCCTTTGAGGCCCGAGAAATCCTCACTGCAAAATGTTTTGCTTCTTGATGCTGGCAAAGCAAATAATAAAAGCCATATGATTTTAAAAAATGTTTTATTGTGGAGGACCAACATGACTGAACCTTGTGCTGAACAGGCAATGGAGTCCTATGCACAGAAGAACTCTCATATCCTGCTGAGTAGGTGGCAGTCTATATTTTTTAGACTGGGTAGAAATAGAAGTTTTTTCAATATGACATTTGAGAAATTATCATGTAACCTAGATCCTGATTCAATTGTTAGGTGATTTCAGAATAATTAGAGTTCCTTCATTTGAGAGAGCAATTCATGTACTATGCCAATTCAGAATGCAAATTTTAGATGTGGTATAATTGCATTTTGGTATGCTCTTTCATATATGAAACAAACAACCTTTCCTCCAGCAAAATTCTCCCAACACCATATAAAGATTACACTGGTTTCTTATGACAAGATCAGACTTTGTAAAGTTCCTTCCCTCTTCTGGCCT